AGCTTACTTCTAGTGAGACCTACATACATACCAGTGCTTTTCAGCTCTGTTTTGAATGTTCAACTGGGATCATGAGCGCTAAGATTACAAGGATTGCTGCGATAATAACATAAGGGTTGGAGGAGACGTTTTGGAGCATTCTATTTCTCGAGTTCATAATTTGTTTATTTATTATTCATATATTCAGGGACACTTTGAGTACTGATCATTTCATGTTGACCATCAGATAATCATTTGATGTTAAGGATCTATCAAAATAAAAAGATCATTTTTTCATAATTTCAGGCTTGGACCATGAATCACCGAGTTCGGCAGCGTTTGCCGTCGAATGGACGCGATTAACGTGGTCTTTACTAGCCGTCATCTCCAGGCTCAGCTCACGGTTTATTGATCCACGACATGTCGATCAAGATGAACAACAACTTACCAAACGCCTCAACATCAAACTATTCGATCTCATCAACAAGGTGCTACACTTTCCTCGTATCGCCGGCTACAGCAAGAACAAATCGCGCAGCTATTGTAAATCTATTCGGCCCTCCAGCTACGCCAGTGAAGGGTGATCCAAACACGACGTGAAAGCCCGATTGTGCAGCGCTCCACATCTACGTTGGACATGGGGTAATTTAGCGCAGTTGACGGCCTTATTCGGAGCAGGGTCAAGCACTGTGTCGTGTATGATCTCAAATCCTTCACTTACTTGTTAGTGTCGCCTATGCATCTCTTTTCTTTCGTTCTTTTCTCTCCGGTTCCCCAAAATATCCCCACAATTCTCTTTGAGATAGTGATACATTCCAATAGATCAGCAAGACGATATGTCCGCACTTTTCTTCAATATTTTGAGAAATTCAAGGAAGACTTCGTACTACATTCGTCTTCTGTTCGAAAACGCTTCCATGAACGCTGTCTCAAGCACGAACTCCTCCTGAGCGATAAAATGCGACGGTCGAGTCATCGAGTGGCGCTGAATTTAGAGAGAAAAAATGAAGAACTCTTGAAGTTGTGTGCAGCATGTTGCTGAAAGCGCAGATTGTGAATTTCGGACAACCGGGGAAGGGTAATTGGGAACCTGGGAAGTCGGTAAGATGTATGAGCGCAATTACTCCGTTTCGCAGTCGTAAATCATTTGCGCAAGGAAATGATGAATGCAAAGAAACGTTCACGCTCATAGTCTATTTATTTCAGTAGAGTAGTATTTCAACAATTTGCAATTTTGCAAGTTTTTGGAGATGGTAACGAGAAACGAAGGAAGTTGATGCTTTCCGGAACGAGATCAGCATATGCTGCTCTCCCTTCAAAATTTTCGGTAATTCCGCGAGAAAGCCTAATTGTTGGTCCGCAATTGATGAGCACAAGGGGTGATAGTATCATAGTTCACCTACCCTCGCCTTCAAATGACCAGAAATTGTGCAATTGCAGAAATTGACGTGGCATTAACGTGGCATCGATTCAAGAACATCTTTGAGCACACGTGATGTCACCTTTTCATCGAGAATTTAGCCACGTGTGCCAATGCCACGTCAATTTCTGCAATTGCACAATTTCTGGTCATTTGAAGGCGAGGGTATGTTTCCTTCCTCAGTTATACGACGACGGAGGGAAGCTAACCGGACAGGATTGTCCGGCTGCAGCGTGTATTCACACCACTTGCAGCGCAAGTGGTGTGAATACACGCTGCATACAAAAATGGGAGAAGCGTTGCGGCGTCGCGCCGCGCTTCGCGCGCAGGGCAAGGGAGGTAAACCCCAACATGCCGCCCAAGCACGCGCGCGGCGAGTTCAGCGGCCCACCACGATCACTCTTTGCCGGTTAGGGCACGGTGAAGAGTGGAGCTCTGCTGAACTGGTGCTTGAGCCATCATCCACGTTATCCATAAACGGCGCCTAGTATAGTGCGCGGGGTTGCTCGACGCATTCTCTCCCCCATGAGAGAGCGCAGAGAAAACGAAAGTGGGAAGAGAGAGTGTGTGTCCGTGACTTTCATACGAGCTCGGATACGGTAGCGCGCGCGCGAAGTAAGTGGTGTGAATACACGCTGCACGCGGACAATCTGTCTGGTTAGCTTCCCTCATTAACGAGGGCAATATACGAGTCATTCTTTCCATAAATTTGCTTCTTTGCTCACTACCAGTATCAAGCCAACAATTTCTTTAGGCACGACCCGTCCGACCGCCTCCAGGTATGCTGGAAAACGACTTCCGATGGGTGCAGTTTTATAATGTAAGTCCTTCAATCTTCAACGAGAAGGAAGTTCAGTGAAGTAGAAAATTCAAAGGCATAAACAGTCGGTGTGAGTCAATCCATTCGTGATGCGCCATGATGTTCGAACATCAAAACTGAGCCATTCGCAACGCGAAGTGCGACGCTTAAATAGGCCTTGACAAGCGAATCAATTCGTTTCAAGCATTGTTTTTTTTTGTACAAGTTTACAGGCGGAATGCTTAAAACCGAAAAAAAAAACATAAACTAGTTCATCACCGTACTAGGTAGAATTTGATGAAATCTGCTCCTCGCAGTATTTGTTTGAACAGTCCCCTGATATACACACTCCCCGATTCCGTCACCGACTATGTTAGGCTGGAAAGCGTTGATCGCGCCACTTTCGCGGCTTGGAAGAGCCCAACTAAGGCGCGAGAAGCCGTCAAGCACGCAACGCCTTTTCTACGAGCCCCTAGCATAACCTGAAGAACCCGATCGCAATTCTGGCGACGCTACTATTGCAGTCAGGCAGCATTCCTTTTATTTTCTTCATTTCACTAGCGATTAGTTAAGCGCTCAGATACTTTTTATCTGGATGGAGCACCTCCATCCTTTCATCATGAGTTTGTTTTTACCCCGCTCACGACCAATCTTGCAATGATCTTATACATACTATAAAGCGCTTCGTCTGTCGTTCTGTCCCTCTGTCGTTCTGTCGTCTGTCGTTCTGTATGTCTGTCACGAAATTCCCTAGCTCCTCGGGATCCGCCTGGAGGGACCGGGTCAAGTGTGGGATGGGTGGGCAAGGTCTCACGTAATACAAAACACACATCAGCTAAGCGGAGCCCCGCCCACAGAGGGCGTGGCGTGCGTCGAAATGAATGTACCGAGACCAAGATTTCGATTTCAGTGACAAAACGACCTCGAAACTGGGCCAAAAAGTGGGTAAGGTGTGCATTGGTAAGTCACATCGAATTAGGGAGACCCACCCCCGGTGGGCGGGGCGTTCTCTAAAAAAGCAGTGCTTTATGAAAAATTTCATAACTCGGTTGGGAGAAAGCCTACAGAGCAGAAAACAATTCGGTGTAAGGGAGCAATGTCTAAGGTGTTTCCCGCATACATGACGTGGGCGGAGGCCTGCCCAGAATGGGCGGGGCGCGCTCTGAAGTGTACAGCATTTTCTACAAGCCCTCATAATTCGGGTCGGGGAAGTCCTAAAGAGCCGGAAAAAGGTGGATAGAGGTGTATGGAGGAGTGGAGGCCAGCTATCAATGGTGGGCGGAGTTTGCGACGAAAATTTATAACTCGGCTCCAGAAGTCCCGGAGGCTGGGGAAAAGGTGGATAGAGGTGGGTGGAGGAGTGGAGGTCCAAAGGCCAATGGTGGGCGGGGCTTGGCCCAAAGTGGGCGGAGTTTGCGACGAAAATTCATAACTTGGCTCCAAGAAGTCCCGGAGGCCGGGAAAAGGTGGATGGAGGTGGGTGGAGGAGTGGAGGCCAGCTGTCAATGGTGGGAGGGACATGACCAAAGTGGGCGGAGTTTGCGACGAAAATTCATAACTCGGCCCCAAGAAGTCCAGGAGGCTGGGAAAAAGGGAGTAGAGGTCGGCGAAGGAAAGGAGGTCAAATGCTATTAGTGGGTAGAGCACGCACCCAAGTGGGCGGAGTTTGCCAAAAGTATCGCAATTCGGTTGCAAGAGGTCCTAGAGATAGGGGAAAACGGGGTTAGAGGTTGGTGAGGGAAAAGAGCTCAACTGCTATCACTGGGTAGAGCACGCACCTAAGTGGGCGGAGTTTGCCAAAAGTGTCGTAATTTGGTTCCAAGAGAGTCCCAGAGACCGGTGAAAAAGGGGGTAGAGGTCGGCGAAAAGAAGGGAGCCAAATGCTATTGGTCGGCAGGGCACGCACCGAAGTAGACGGAGTTCGCCACGAGATTTATTGTCCGGGCCGAGGACCGAGAAAAATAGGATAATGGTTGACGAAGAAAGAGCGCATAGAATTTAGCGGAGAATTCAGATATTCGTATTGTATCAAGCCAAATTTGAAATTTTTCGTCGCACCATCAAAATTCGCCACAGATCTGTGTTGCGCGCGCAATGCGTGCGGCGCCAACTGGTAATTATATAATAATAACTGCAGATAACAGCGTCTATCGCTTTCCAAAAACCAATTCAGGCTGGCTGAGCAAATGCAGAACTTTACCCGCCTTTATCTAGCTTGATTCGACATAAGAGTTAACCTCGAAAAAGACAGAATATCGACTTTTGTGTTGGCTTCCGGCCTCCAAAAACTTCCAAAAGTCAACCTTTGACATGAAAGCGATACGATCTGATGGTGTCGAAGGCGCTGTGCATCTCATATGGATTGCATTATCGAATGTTCTCTCCTTCGGAACTGCAACAAGATTCGGTCATTTTTTGCGTTTTGCACCATGAGCTTAGAAATGGAAAATAGATGTAGTTCTCTATGCGTAGTTTAAAATAGTCCTCTGTGAGAAGTTTAGAACGATCACTGGTCTTAGTTCAGTTGCTGGTCCCCACGTTGACTACATTACATGATCTGTACTCTCAACTCGATCCACCAATACAGTCTCTGGATTCTGCAATTGCCACGTTCACTGAGACCCAGGTTCGTCCACTGCTCTTACCAACTTTGAAACCACCTCCGGTAGAGAAAGAAACGAGTGGTAGGAACCAGGAAAAGGCGCTGAAAGCAGCGTATTTCATTTTTCAGTTCAGTTTTAGTTTTTGTGGCGTTCAACCCCCGTTCTGAACTTTCTGACCCTACTGAT